CAAGCCCCGGCAGGTGGGAAGAGCAGCCTCAGGTCCCCTGACCCGGCAGTGGGTAGGGGTGCAGTCTCTGGTATCCCGTCAAGCCCCCTCAAGTCCCCCAGCACACTGTCAGGTCCTCTGGCCCAGGGCAGGGGGTGCGGCCTGAGGTCCCTCAGGGCGGGGGGCTCAGCCTTATGTCCCTCGGTTTGGGATGAAGGGCGTGGCCTGAGGTACTCCACCCAACATCAGGTTGAGGGGCATGCCTTGAGATCTGCCGTCAAGCCCTGCCAGGCAGGGGGCATAGTCTGAGATCCTCTATCAAGCCCTGCAGCCTGAGGTCCCCCAGGTCAGTGCCGGGGTAGGGGACACAGCCTGAAGTCCCCTGGGGCAGAGTTGCAGCTTCAGGTTCTCTGGCCTGGGGCGAAGGGTGTGACCTGAGGTCCCCCAGCCCGGCACCAGGGTTGGGGGTGCACCTTGAGGCCCTCTGTCTTGCCCTGCCAGGTGGGGTGGGGAGTAGAGGGGGAGAATGTGACCTGAGATTCCCCATTAAGCCCTCCTGAGTTGGGGGTGCAGCCTCAGGTCCCTTGCCCTGGCTTGGCGCCACGCAGCCTCAAGTCCCTGTTGATCACTCGTTATGGGTACCCTGCCTCCTCTGTGGGTGCAGCCATCTTGTGATGGCGTGAGGGTTAATTTGCATATTGCCTCTATTATATAGGATATGTGGTGTGTACACATACTAATCCTAATATATAAAATCCTAGGGTCTGTAACAACTGAAAGCTCGACTGAACACTGGAGGTCAGTCCTACAGTCGATGCTGGGTTGCCGTAGTGACCCAGCACTGACTGCTGCTGCTGTGGGTGCTGCAACCCAGCACTGACTGCTGAGGGGGCTGCAGATCAGGCCCAGAGAGAGGCAGGGTCTGATCCACAGCCTTCATGGCAGGTGTTGATCAGCTCTTGCCTCTCTTTCTCCATGGAGACTGCCAATCAGCCACACCTTTCTGATCAGGCCTAGAGATAGGCCCGGAGACTAACTGGCATAGAAACCGACCAATCAGAACCAAATCTGGATGAACTGTGAGGAGCCAATGGCTACCTAGGAGGCGGAGCTTTTGACACTGACTGGCATAGTAACCAACCAATCAGAACCAAATTGGCCAGCAGGGGAGGGCAGTTGGGGGCGAGATCAGGTCAGCAGGGGAGGGCAGTTAGGGTGATCAGGCAGGTAAAGGCAGTTAGGGGTGATCAGGCTGACAGGGGAGGGCAGGTGGGGGCGAGATCAGGCGAGTTGGGGAATAATGCCTTTTAGCCAGATGTTATGAAGATAAAAAGGAAAAGGGGCTGTTAGGTTGGAAACAAGGAGTGTTTGTCACTAATCTTTTCTGTTGAAATTTCATGGGTTCTAAGTTAGTTGGGAAATCATTCAAGAGTTATAGCAGGTAGAGACTGAAAAATCATTTTTATAAAACTGACAAAGTTTTATAAGAGAAAGGGGTTTATATCTGCAGTCAAGTGTTTTCCTAATATTGAATCTAGAATTACACAGACTTACCCATCCAGTTAAGAAAGTAATAGACCAGGTAGAGCCTGTCCCTATTAAATGTTTACTGCCTGCCAGCAGCTCTTTCTCAGCAGAAAGAAAGTAGTGGGTGAGGGAATAGAGAGAGGCTGGGAATTACTTATGTCATCAGAAATGAGTAAGTGTTACCCTGTGCCTTCTCCCTTCCTATAATAACTTATCCTAAGAGTTTAGCAGGATGCCTAGAGTATAGAAAGCATTTAGTTTTTGGTGATTATTACTACATTGATGATTTAAGCAGTTTGAGTAGCTGGTAGTACTTCTCATAATCTATGTATTTTACCTTCCCACATGCATGCTATTTTAAATTCACCATGAAATAAATCCTATCCTATATGATAAAAGGCTAATATGTAAATGGACTGAATGGCGGAATGACTGGTTACTATGACATGCACTGACCAGAAGGGGGCAGACGCTCAATGCAGGAGCTGCCCCCTGTGGTCAGCCAGAAGCTGGGTTCACAACTGGAAAGTGCAGATGCGATGGCAGGAGCCTCTCCCACCTTTGTGGCAGTACTAAGGACTGATAGCCTGGGCCTGCTCCCTGTGGGACATCAGTTGGACATCACCTGAGGGTTCCCGGACTGGACTGAGGGGCCCCCAAGTGCACAAATGTTGTGCACCGGGCCTCTGGTTTATAAATAATTTAAAAAGGCTTTACTGATACTTTTTAGAGCAATAACTTTAAACTTTGGTGAGGTCACAATTTCCTTTGCAAATTTAATGAATCAATGTATATAGCATAGATTATACATATGATTTGTGGAGATACATGGGCCTTAGGATAACATCCCATGGTGTAGATAAAATTTAAAGAAGTGTAAATACCTGCATAATACTATAATTATCATCAATGACTGTTGAATAAGCTAAGTACAATTTGTTACGTACTAGTAGGAAGGTGATAGTTTAAAATCAAGTGAGGCAGACAGACATATGTTTGAATTCCTACAATTCTTACCTACTAGCTTTTTGACTTTAACATATTATTAACCTGAGTATTATTTTATCTTTTTAAAATCAATGAAATGAAGGTGATAATATCTCCCATATCACAAAGTTGAGGAGTACATGAGTTAATACACTTAAGCCATTACTTCTGGGCTGGATAGAGTATTCACTGGCTATTTGCTGCTGTAGCTCTTGTTTTTACAGTGATTAGTGTTATTGTTATTCTTTTCTTTCTAACCTCATCCTAATTATCTTATAGGTTCCAGTGCCAAAATTGTCCTATATTTTATAACTTGGAGATAAAATTACTCTGATTAAAAAGCTTGGTCCTTTAGATCTGTTTTCATTTTTTTTTGAAAGAAGTCCTTAAGAATAATCTTCATGATATAGATCTTTCTGTCTAAGAAAGACCTTTTACTGCCTCCTTATGGCTCATCAGAGAGAAAGTCTTTTGTGTGCCCTTCAGAATTTTCCTTTCTTCCTTTGCTTCCTCTCATATCTCCTTCCTGGCACTGCAGAAACAGAAAGATGTCCGTTTGGTACCTCTGGCCTCTTTTTAAAACCTGGTAACGGTATTTATCCTGTCAGCAGTTTCTGGATATTTAGCCTTTTTCATCTCCATCTGTCTTTATTATTTGCGGGAAAGTCCTTAACTTTCCCCATTCCTTTCTGATGAATAGCTTGGTCTACAGAAGTTTGGTCCCCTCACTAAGAGTTACAGATCCCCTGCTGTTTTTATAGGTTGACTTTTGACACAGACTACTTCTGTTCAAGGAGCTCATTGTTGTTAAGTTAGTGCCAGTTTATACCAGAACTTAACTTTTAAAGCACATTTAAATGGACTTCTTGGTGTGTGTGTGTTGATGTTTAAAATTGTCTAAATTTTTTTTTAAGGACCAAAATAACAAATGCTCATTGTTAAAAATATTTTTAAAAACCACATACCAGATGTACCAGTTAATAATGTGGATTTTTTTCAATAGATGGCGTTACACTTATGTTGATATATATGCAATTTGATATGTATACTGTTTTGTTGTATTGACAGCAAGCTTCAAAACATCATATGTCAAATTTTCTGAAGGTGCTAATAATACACTTAAAAAGGTTTAAATAAAAATAAAAAATGTTGAATTTCATGCCAAAGAAGAGCATTTGTGGGAAGTTTTAATTCATTAGTACTTCATTTTGAATGCTGGTTTAAACACTTTAATAGTGATGATTTCTATGTAAAAAACAAAGAACATTCAGGTTAATTGAAAAAGTTTGAAGACTAACAGTTACAAGCATTAATGGATGAAAATGCCTGTCAAACTCAAAAATAACTTGCAGAAAGATTAAATGTTGCTCAGCAAACAATTTCTGATCATTTACAAGCAATGGGAAATATTTTAAAGGAGGGAAAATGGGTGCCATATCAACTGAACAAAAGACAAATGGAAAACTGAAAGTGATCAGTAAAATGTTGCTTCAACTGCATGAAAGAAGGTGACTGGCAATGAAAAGTGGATTTATTTTGAGAATTCCAAACTCACAAAATCATTGGTTGATCCAGGTCAACCATCAACATTGACTGCAAGGCCAAATTGCTTTGGAAAGAAGACAACGTTCTGTGCTTGGTGGGATCAGAAAGGTGTATTGTATTATGAGCTTCTAAAACCAGGTGAAACCGTTAATACTGATCGCTACCAACAACAAATAATTTGAACCATGCTATGATCGTGTAATGACCAGAATGTGCCAGAAGACATGGCAAAGTAATTTTGCTTCATGATAACGCACCATCAAATACTTCAAAACCAGTAAAAGACACGTTAAAAGATGTTTCCTGGGAAGTATTAACCCACCCACCATCTTGCTCCTTCAGATGACCACTTGTTCAGATCGATGGCACATGCATTTTCTGAACAGTACTTCAAAAAGAATGAAAAAGTGGAAAATTGGGTCTCTGGTTTGCCTCAAAACAAGACACATTTTATAGGGACAGTATCCATAAATTACCCGAAAGATGGGGGAAATGCATAGCTAGCGATGGACATTACTTTGGATAAAGCACTTTTGATGTTTCCCTTGAGATTATCATGTTTTCTTTGATTACAAAATCTACATTATTTACCGGTACACTTGGTAGATAAAGAAGAAAAATATCTCCCATAGTTCCACACCACCAAAATTATCACTTTCAAATCGTTTTTGTATGATTCTATTTTGGCTTAAATGTTTCTTCTTTGCTCATGCTCACATCTTGTTCTTGACTTTGCTCTAGATAAGCAATGCTTGTTTATATAAGTAAAATGTGTATCTATGTTCTATGTTTTTTACATGTTTTTCATTTTTATCATTGTTAAAAGTAAAGAAAATCAAAACTTTTTATTTAGATAATCATTTTAGATTATCTAAACTGATTTTTAAAATAAGAAGATAAAATGTTTTGGATATAATCTTTCCATAAGATAAAGATCATGTTTTTATTTTATTGCTTTTTAGAAGAAAAACAACGGTGAAGACATTATGTATTTATGCGGATTACAAATCTGATGAAAGCTATACTCCAAGCAAGATTTCAGTCAGAGTAGGAAATAATTTCCATAACCTTCAAGAAATTCGGGTATGTTTTCACATTTTAAAAATGTGTATGTATCAATCAGACTCTTTAGAGGATAGTCATGTTTGATATTCAGAGAGATTAAAATGTTAATTCAGGGGTGGGCAAAAGTAGAGAATCAGTCATTTGTATGGAAAATAATACAATAATCTATACTAATAAAAGGTTAATATGCTAATTAGACCAGATGTCTTCCAGATGTCCATCTGAGCAAAGCCACAGCTGTGGCTGCGAGGGCCTAGGGCAGGAGAGGCCTCCCAGTCCCGGCACCATGCCTCCACAGAGGCTGGACAGGCTGAGACCTGCTGTGCCTCAACCTCCCACTGCCCCTCCCCCAGCCGGCCTGGGCCCAGGTTGCCCCCCACCCAAAAGTGGGTAGGGGGTGGGGCCAGCGCTAAGAAGCAAGGGGCCAGTAGCTACAGCGGGTGATGAAGGCGGTGCCTTTTCATAATCGTCCCACAGTAGGACATCCCCTTAAGGGCTCCCAGACTATGAGAGGGGATAGGCTGGGCTGAGGGACACTTCCCTTCTCCCTCCCTTCCCTCCCCCTTGTCCCCCCTACTCCAGTGCACGAATTTTTATGCACTGGGCCTCTAGTAAATCTATAATAATATAAGTATAATATGCTAATTAAACCAGCCAGTTGAGTTAGCATTGTTTCTTGTCAGAAAAATCATTGAACTCAAATAATCATTAAAAGCTTTAAATTCATTGGTTCTGGGGGATCTAGGAAGCACCTGTGATTTTTGAAATACTTCCAGTTAACTTATTGGCCTGGACTCTTCCTTGACTTGTTTATATTAAGACCCTGTCTTGTATTAATCACATGAATTATTGAGAAGTCTTTTGGGATCAGAATTGCCTTATATTGGTTTAAAATGAAAGATTTGTCATATAATTGCTCAGGCAGGTTGAAATATGTGAAACATTGGAAATAAAGTTTTGATTCAAGATATATGTGGTATATATTTGAAATGTTCACTAGATGTCACTGTTGTCCTTTAATTACTAGTCTCACTTCTTAGTTAATAAGTTCAAGACCTGAAGCAGTTCTTCGTTGTACTAGTTTTTCCTAGAGAATATATATATATATATATATATATATATATATGTAATTTTTTTAATCAAAAATTCCTTGAAACATTTTGGAAATGCACATCTTCACACATGATTTCTATATTTATGTGTTAAATATATGTTTTGTATTCTGTTGTAAACTGGAGAAACTTTGACATTTGGGCCATTGTGGAATACTTTTAATCTAGTTTTTGCTTCTATTATATCATTTAAGTGCCAAAACATTAGCCATATAGAATAAGGGCTCTTTTAGGTAGTGCCTTAATTTTATTCCAAGTGTGTTTATATTTCTGTGTAGTGACCACATAGCCCCATGAGACCAGTAATACTAAATATTACCAGGTGATAATGTAAGTTGTTTTCCTGAAAAACTTAATGAACATACTGCTTTTCTGCCACAATTCTCACTAAGGAACCATAATTCTTATATTTTACTTTAAAATATTAGTGCTGCCTTTGCAATTCATGATATAAATGTACTTCATCTTTTAATTATACATCTTTATATGGGATTTACTCTGTTTACCTTTTTTCACTTTATAAGTTGAAGAAATAAGAATCTCAAAGCACTTTGTTTTTTAAGGGACTATATAAGCAGATTGTGATTTTATTTCTTACATTACTGCTCTGTAAGATCTAAATTGCTATTTTAAAAAATCTGAACTTCTAACTCAGATAGTCAGTGATTAAAATAATGTGAAATTTGAGGGTTGAGAACCATAATTTTATTAGTTATAGGACTGATTTAAGTGAGTGGAAAATCAAACTAAATCTTTATATTTTTCCATGGATACTTGCCCACTCGAGGGTGTAGTGTGTATTAGAGTGTTTTAATAGGTTTTCCTTTTTTACTAGAAATTATGGATTTGTTTACTTGAAATGCTCTAAAAACCTATCTTCTGTAATTTTTTTTATTGGTTTGAGTAGTAAATAAAGAATTTTTAGTTCAGAGTGAAAAAAGCTAATGGCTATCTTATTTATCCAAAAATGACTCTTTCTCTATCATATGTTTTCCTTCATTTCAGTGTTGGAGCATGACTTTATATCTAGATCTTTGTTACCTTAGTTGAAAATCCCTCTGAAGAGATGAGGCACTTCCTTTACTATTTTAGAATGCATTTGTTAACCTCTAGACATGAGAAGGGACTTAAAATGGAAGTGAAGTTTATAATCTCTGCTTAATGGCTTTGGCCAAATAGAACATTTTTGTCACGAAAGCTTAATTTAATTATGCTGTTCATTCTACTTTCTTCTTATCTCTCTCAAAATTATCTATCCTATACAAATTGTAAACCAACAATCTAAGAATATTTTATGTTTATAATTTATTGCTTTTACACGAGACAATTTCTAAATAGAAGTGATATTTAACACTTATTTAACATGAATCTTAATGTCATTGTCTTTTTAGAATACTTTATTTCAATTGTGTTACTTTTAAGCAGGAAGTTATGTTCATGTATTCAAGAGAAGTTTTCAAATAAAGATGTACATGCTTTTTAAGTTTTAAACCTTTACGTGTTAGCATTATGTTTTGGTTTAATGTTCTTTTCCTTTGCTCTCAGAAGAGAAAATATGTGCGAAGGAAATTATTTTTTTATTCAGATTGAGGAATCAAATCATACTATATCGTATATGTGACCATTTTAACATTTTAGAGAATATCCCTAGCTAAAGACCAATAAAACTTAAAGTCCTTATCAATTTGCTGATTAGTTTCAGTCATCTCTCCCCATCCCCAACCCCTAATACACAGATGCTCAAGTCTGTTATATAAAACTAGAGACCTGCTGCATAAAATTTGTGCATGGATAGGGTCCCCAGGCCTGGCTGGCAATCAGGGCCGATCTGCAGGGTGACTGGGGGGGCGAACGGGGGTAGGGAGGACTCAGTGGCACCCACCTTGGCTGGCTTGGGGCCTGTGGGCTAGGGGCAACTCCTGGGTTGAGTGTCTGTCCCCTGGTGGTCAGTGCGCATCATAGCTACGGGTCGTTCCACTGGTCATTCTGCCATTTGGTCATTTTGCATATTAGGTTTTTTTTATATAGGATGATACAGTATTTGCATATAACCTATGTGCATCTTCCTGTATATTTTATTTTTAAAATTTTTATTGTTGATACTTTTGAAGAAGTCCCTCAATTTCCCCAACTCCCTTAATCATCTTCCTCCCAGACCCTGCCCCACCCAGGCTTTCACTACACTATTGTCTGTATCCGTTGGTTATGCATATAATTCTCCGGTATACTTTATATCATTCTATAATACATATAATACTTAATACAATGTAAATGCTATGTAAATAGCTGTCACTGTGTTGCTTAGGGAATAATGACAAGGCAGAAATGCTGTACATGTTCAGTATAGAAGCAACCATCCTAGGCCTCACTACATAGTACATGTTATACATGTTAGCAACAGGGTAACATTCCGGCTCCTCCTCTTCCTCCCCCCCCCCCCCCGCCCACCCTCCCAAGTGTTTCAATCACAGTTGGTTTAATCTACAGATGTAGAACTCCCAGATATTGAGAACTGACTGTATTTTCTTTTTAAAAACTATAGTAGAAATATTTGTACTTAAATATAAATCTAAAATGGTTTATTAGACATATAGTCACAGCTCTCAAAATTATTTCTATACAGTTCTGTGAAAAACAAGTAAAGTTAAGCAGATATTTTCAGCATATGTGAAACTTGTCTTTTGGTTCATTGTTAGCTTTATGCTTCTAAAATTTGTCATCAAAGTTTATCCTTTTGCCACAAAAGGATAAAATATTGATGGAGGGCAAGATTGAACACTTAACTGAATTTTAAACCTTGTTTTCATCTTTAGATAATAAAGCTGTTACCAAGTGATTTTTAAAAAAGAAGTGTCTTGGCCAAGTCTTCAATGTTAAGAGAGCTATAATGATATTTTTCCTTTCTTTCATGCAGACAAGCCTTTTGGCTCTCTACCTTGTGTATTAAGTCAGTGGCCTGGCTATGGGAGTCCATATATGGTACTTTGACAGAAGTGGTTAATAAGTCAGCTCTTCTATTAAAATAACATTTACTATTATAATTTGAGTTCCATTAATGTGTGTGGTAGAATAAGAAGATGTAGACAAAGGCTCTGACTCTATTAATTGATCTTAAAATTTACATTCTTATGAGGGGCCTATTTTAAACAACTTGATATAAAGTGGGATGATTTAGGCAGTATCCACAAACATGTATTGGTTTGAGTGTTTAATTTATTGAATCTTTGGAAAAAATGGTTTTTATTGAATTTAGCTAAAAGAAAGTAATTTTAAAAATTAGTTTTTATAGCCCTGGCCAGGTGGCTCAGTTGGTTGGAACATTGTCCTGTACACCAAAAAAGATTATGTGTTGGACTTCCAGTCAGGGCATGGATGGGAAACAACTGATTGATGTTTCTCTCTTATAATCAATGTTTTTCTCTCTCCCACTCCCTTTCTAAAACTAAATAAAAAAACAAAACAAAAAACCTATCCTTGGGTGAGGATTTTAAAAAGATTAGTTTTCATAACTAACTTTAGAATATCTTTGAAAAGAATAGAGAATGTTTTGGTGTGATACACATAATTTTTAGGCCACAAATATTATCCTCTCTTATCCCTCTCTTAAAAGTAGCATATACAATTAAAAATTATTCATAATTATATACATATTATTTCCAAAATAGAGTTGAGATAAGTAAGATATGGGTTATATTTTCTTTTAAAGCTAAATTATTTTGCAAAACAGTATCATATATATATATATATGTGTGTATATATATATATATTTTTTTTTAATATTTTTTATTGATTTTTTACAGAGAGAAAGGGAGAGGGATAGAGTTAGAAACATCGATGACAGGGAAACATCGATCAGCTTGCCTCCTGTACACCCCCTACTGGGGATGTGCCCGCAACCAAGATACA